ACATGTCTACCACCACGTGCGCAAAGGCAACCACAATTTCTATCCATCAATAGTGTATTACCCTGACGAGGTGCCTTCGGGCAACATCCATCCAATCTTGAACACCCAAGGCGGTGCCACGGCTCTTTCTTCTCGGATCAACCCAGAAACAGCCGCACATTTTCTTGCATGGAAAGACTTTCAATTCCCGGGAGATTTATGTGTTCAATATCCCGATACCATTTTATCATTGAAGTCGCACTTCACGCCCTTAATCTCCGAGACATATGCTCGGCTGTGCTCCTATAACGCGTTGTTTACGCTCTGTTATCGTCACACACCGGATCCAGACGGAGGGGGGCGCCAGAAACGCCGTAAATTCCGCACGCCACGCGGCGTCTCGCCCTCGGTCCGCGCAGCGTTATGGCGACGGGGCGCAGCGCCGCGATCCGCCACAATTATTTCCGAATCACATTAGAGGGATTAGCCGGGTCCAGCTGTTTCTGCCGGCGATGAAGAGCCGGCGCTTGCTGGAGCGCAGACCGAGAGAGGAGGGGAAGGGAAGCAGAGCGCTGGTCGCTGAGCCCTCAGCCGCATCAGCTATGTATTAGGTTGAGTCCGGGCGGACACGGCTTTATATATATATATATATATATATATATATATATATATATATATGTATATATATATATACATATATATATACATATACATGTGTGTGTGTGTGTGTGTGTGTGTGTGTGTGTGTGTGTGTGTGTGCGTGTGTGTGTGTGTGCGTGTGTGTGTGTGTGTGTGTGTGTGTGTGTGTGTGTGTGTGTGTGTGTGTGTGTGTGTGTGTGTGTGTGTGTGTGTGTGTGTGTGTGTGTGTGTGTGTGTGTGTGTGTGTGTGTGTGTGTGTGTGTGTGTGTGTGTGTGTGTGTGTGTGTGTGTGTGTGTGTGTGTGTGTGTGTGTGTGTGTGTGTGTGTGTGTGTGTGTGTGCCTTTCGGCTCAGAGAGGACAGTCTGACCATCAATGTCATCTATCACTAGCTGAACGCTCAATATAGATACGAACATCAGTAAATTGAATGTAGGCATATCAGTAAGCGGGCTGTATCGTTTCAGCTTTGTTACTCGTCATGTAATCTTCTAAATTTTCTATTGAACAACTTAGATAACCTTGATTGGTCCCGAGCGAAGAAGCGCAAGCTTTGTCGGCTCTCTATGGCCGGAGACTATCCGTCGGCCGGCACGAAGCTTCTCCACACGGACTCCGCGGAAGCCGGGCGGCGCTCCCCCAGAGACGCCGCGCCGGCGGCAGTCCCTGGCCGCCCAATCAGCAGCCGGTGGTCCGCAAAAGGTGAATCAGATCAGCCGCGTCGCTCTATGGACCGGCGTGTCGTCCGGCGCGCCGTCCCTCAATCTCCGCTCGGCGCCGACGCTCGTCCGGGCCCTCAGGCCGGCCTCTCCTGCGACGCGTCACAGCAGAGAGGCTCTTCCGCGGCCGCCGGCGGCAGAAGGTAGCGGTGGGTTGGAGACGAAGTGGATAAGTCGGAGGAGAAATGCAGGCGCGCGGCATAATGAGTTTCATTTTGTTATATCATGATGCGAAAGCTGACGTTCAGCTACGTTTCGGCCCTTGCGCTGTAGATGCAGCCGGTGTTGAGCTTGCGTTGCATTCACAACATATTGGACTGCGAAATGCACGAACTGCTGCTTTCCACTAGCTCCCAGATCGCTCTGCACTGGCTGCCAGATCACTCCACAGAGTGGCTTTACTCAGCACCCGCGCGCCCTCCGCGACTTCGATGATCCTGGCCGTACCGCGTCGGCCCGTGTCCGACTGATTTCGATCTTGTCCGGCCGGCCGGGTCGGCCGCAGTCACGGCCGGTGACCCAATCAGCGCCACCGGCCCAATCGGCTGCCCGTCCGGTCACGTCCGCGGGCAACACTTCCCGCCGGCGGGGGAGATGCCGACTGCCAACACGGGGGGGGGGGGGTATCCCGGGCCGCGCGGCTCGGGAGCCGTTGCGGCGTGGCGCCCGGTTTTGTTTCATCGTCGTCTTGCCGTGACGAGCGTCGCGGCTTCAGAGCTGGCGCTGTTTTATCAATACGGTGGGCGTGCTCAACAGCACAACCGCTCGCTCCATTTATTCGGTCACGATATGGACGGACACGAATTGTGCCGCGGGACGTAACCGCCGCCAAGAACAAAGCAGGATGCCTAGGTGGTTTGCCCCTTTTTTGTTTTGTCAGCCGATGAAAGGCTCGCGTGTCACCCGAAAATATCGCCAGGTCCAGCACGGCAGGATGGCTCAGTATCGCCGCGTCCGGCACGGCAGGATAGCTCTGTTGGCGCTGCGCGAACGACAGGGAGGACCGTGATATGATGATCACCGCACAGAGCTGTCGCAGGCACAGGCAACTCTTCCATGCATTGTCATACTGAGTAGTCGGTGTTATAGTATAGGTGTTAGTGTGTTATAGGTCTGTTGGTGGCGTTGTGGTGGCGAAGTTGATGGCTTCCGACCTTGCTTCCTTCTGATGATCATCCGAAGTTGACGTATCGAACTCTTATTCAAAGAAGGCTTTCTTTCTACGCTTTCAAACAACTGCTTCTGGTATATCGCGAGCAACTGGTCATTTCTTGCCAACGCCGATGCTGAAAGCCGGTATCTTGGGCCTTTAGGCCCTTTCTGATCACATCAGCCGCCTCTGGAACTCTGTGTGACTGGAAAGACACCCAATGCCTTGGCGATATGGAGGACCGATTAAGCTTCTTTGTAGCCTATTGCCACAGCAATACGCTGCTTGCAGAACCTGGCTGGTGTCATTCTGTACTGGTACGCCGGCTGGTCGGGTCCCCACAGGAGCCCGTCTCTGACCGCCGGTGTTCCCCTGTGCCGCAGCCGGCTGGTCGGGTCCCCACAAGAGCCCGTCTCTGACCGCCGGTGTTCCCCTGTGCCGCAGCCGGCTGGCCAGGTCCCGACAGGAGCCCGTCTCTGACCGCCGTATGTCTTCTGTGCCGCAGCCGGCTGGTCGGGTCCCCACAGGAGCCTGTCTCTGACCGCCGTGTGTCTCCCTGTGCCGCAGCCGGCTGGTCGGGTCCCCACAGGAGCCCGTCTCTGACCGCCGTGTGTCTCCCTGTGCCGCAGCCGGCTGGTCGGGTCCCCACAGGAGCCTGTCTCTGACCGCCGTGTGTCTCCCTGTGCCGCAGCCGGCTGGCCAGGTCCCGACAGGAGCCCGTCTCTGACCGCCGTGTGTCTCCCTGTGCCGCAGCTGGTTGGTCGGGTCCCCACAGGAGACCGTATCTGACCGCCGTATGTCTTCTGTGCCGCAGCTGGTTGGTCGGGTCCCCTCAGGAGCCCGTCTCTGACCGCCGTGTGTCTCCCTGTGCCGCAGCCGGCTGGTCGGGTCCCCACAGGAGCCCGTCTCTGACCGCCGTGTGTCTCCCTGTGCCGCAGCCGGCTGGTCGGGTCCCCACAGGAGCCCGTCTCTGACCGCCGTGTGTCTCCCTGTGCCGCAGCTGGTTGGTCGGGTCCCCACAGGAGACCGTATCTGACCGCCGTATGTCTTCTGTGCCGCAGCCGGCTGGTCGGGTCCCCACAGGAGCTCGTCTCCGACCGCCGTGTGTCTCCCTGTGCCGCAGCCGGCTGGTCGGGTCCCCACAGGAGCCCGTCTCTGACCGCCGTGTGTCTCCCTGTGCCGCAGCTGGTTGGTCGGGTCCCGACAGGAGCCCGTCTCTGACCGCCGTGTGTCTCCCTGTGCCGCAGCTGGTTGGTCGGGTCCCCACAGGAGCCCGTCTCTGACCGCCGTGTGTCTCCCTGTGCCGCAGCTGGTTGGTCGGGTCCCCACAGGAGCCCGTCTCTGACCGCCGTGTGTCTCCCTGTGCCGCAGCTGGTTGGTCGGGTCCCGACAGGAGCCCGTCTCTGACCGCCGTGTGTCTCCCTGTGCCGCAGCTGGTTGGTCGGGTCCCGACAGGAGCCCGTCTCTGACCGCCGTGTGTCTCCCTGTGCCGCAGCCGGCTGGTCGGGTCCCGACAGGAGCCCGTCTCTGACCGCCGTGTGTCTCCCTGTGCCGCAGCCGGCTGGTCGGGTCCCGACAGGAGCCCGTCTCTGACCGCCGTGTGTCTCCCTGTGCCGCAGCCGGCTGGTCGGGTCCCGACAGGAGCCCGTCTCTGACCGCCGTGTGTCTCCCTGTGCCGCAGCCGGCTGGTCGGGTCCCCACAGGAGCCCGTCTCTGACCGCCGTGTGTCTCCCTGTGCCGCAGCCGGCTGGTCGGGTCCCGACAGGAGCCCGTCTCTGACCGCCGTGTGTCTCCCTGTGCCGCAGCCGGCTGGTCGGGTCCCCACAGGAGCTCGTCTCCGACCGCCGTGTGTCTCCCTGTGCCGCAGCCGGCTGGTCGGGTCCCCTCAGGAGACCGCATCTGACCGCCGTGTGTCTCCCTGTGCCGCAGCTGGTTGGTCGGGTCCCCTCAGGAGCCCGTCTCTGACCGCCGTGTGTCTCCCTGTGCCGCAGCTGGTTGGTCGGGTCCCGACAGGAGCCCGTCTCTGACCGCCGTGTGTCTCCCTGTGCCGCAGCTGGTTGGTCGGGTCCCCTCAGGAGACCGTATCTGACCGCCGTGTGTCTCCCTGTGCCGCAGCTGGTTGGTCGGGTCCCGACAGGAGCTCGTCTCTGACCGCCGTGTGTCTCCCTGTGCCGCAGCCGGCTGGTCGGGTCCCCTCAGGAGACCGTATCTGACCGCCGTATTTCTTCTGTGCCGCAGCTGGCTGGTCGGGTCATCGCGGGAACCCGTCTCTGACCGCCGTGTGCCCCCTGTGCCGCAGCCGGCTGGTCGGCGCCCGTGATCGTGGAGCAGCCGGTGAGCGCGGTGGTGGGGCGCGGTCAGCCGCTGACGCTCAACTGTCGGGCGGCCGGCCGGCCGGCGCCGCTGGTCAGCTGGCTGCGCGACGGCCGCCCCCTGGCCGCCGGCCGGCCCGACCGGCTCGTGCTGGCGCCCGGCAGCCTCTTCTTCCTGGCGGTGCGCGAGCGTGACGCCGGCGTGTACCGGTGCCGGGCGGACAGCGCGGCCGGCTCGGCCGCCAGCCATAACGCCACGCTCGCCGTTGCAGGTCAGTGCTGCGGCAGGTGGTTTTGACGCGTGCTGAAAATGTATGATGGCTCTGTGGTCTGTTTTTCGACTGTGCATGGATTATGCTTTTTCAAGGGCTTAGGAGTTTGATTTATGAAAATTTTGGATATCTAGCTTGAATTTTCAAGGTAAAATTTGATTTTTTAAATAGCGTTTTTGAAGCGTAGTTTGATTTTTTTAGGTCTAGTTCACTTTTTTTACGATGGATTTTGAGTTTTCATTGCATGTAATTCTGAGATCAGTGACCACGCTAAGCAGCCAGTGCTTGCTGTGTGAGCTCTGACCCCGCCACCCCTTCGTGCAACTCCGGGTCAACGGCACAAGTTTGTGACGAGGACTAAATGTGCCGCAACGCTGGGCACGGTTCGTCCTGCGCCCTGACGTCACCTTACAGTTAGCGCAGCCGCCGCAACCAGCCCCAGGCCATTACAGTCAAGAAAAAAACAGTGAATTCCTAAAAAAAACTCAAACCCACCCCTCCACGGGTGGGCGAATCAGACGGCAGACGCTCTAACCGCCTGAACTGTCGACACGGCCAGGAGGTAACGGACAGGACATAACGGACAGGACGTTACGGACATGGACGGACAATGCGTGGCCATACCATCCGGCTGTCACGAGCGATCGCACATCCCTTGGTCGGAGGTGTGATGAATGAAATAACCTTAACCGTCACTGATTCACCAGTTAAAGAATTTACCTGCCTGTAAGGCTGCTCCGTGTTACTAATCCGTAGCACCCAACTAGAATAAAGTCCGCACAAGGCTCAAAGAACGCAGCTAAGTGCGCCTAAAACGCAGCTAATGCGGGGTGTGTCACACATCTGTCAGACTATCACAGCATGTGCTTAAATCTCTGCCAGCATCCACATGACGAAAAAAAGCAATTCATGCTGCCGTTTTTGACCAAAGCACCAAACAAGTGAACGTCAGAGCAGCTTTTTGTCCGTCGATGCTACGCCGCAGTGCTTCTGATGTACTGCGGGTCAGTCTATGCATTAGTGTTTTCCGTCTCTGGAGCCTGTACATCAAATCTCTGTTAGCGTGGTGCTCTTCGTGGCGTCTGCTCCGCACGTCTTCGCTCGTGTTCAAAGTTTGACATCACCAGACCCGTGTAACTGCCTTCCATATTATACAATCCTCTCGAATATGGGCTTAATTAACTGTGCCTAACAAGCGCGAGACAGCTTAGGCTTGATGTGCCAATTACAAACTGTAATGACACGACATCACTGGCTTCACACTGTCGGTGTAAACATCCGACCTTTTCTGTACGGGTTGTCTGACCACGGCCCCTCCTTCAGATCTTTCACACCTTTTCCAGACCTTCGTTTGTTTCCTTTACTTTGTCTAGCGTTATATGATGAGTGGCAAGATTGGCTCGGTGTCCCAGATTGCTTGGAATGTCATCCCATAAATTCATAAGTGAAACCCTCACCAAAAGCATTCATAGGCCAGCAAAAACCGCAACAAATGATCGAGCCGCATCCATCATTATAACCAATCAGTCTGCGAGACAATATAGTCTCGAGTCCACAATAGTCCACGAGCGCGGAGCACTGCCCTCGAACATCAGCCGTTGTGTGCGGCTTAGGGGACGGCTGAACATCAGCCGTTGTGTGCAGCAGCGGCGCTTGAGGGACGGCCGAACATCAGCCGTTGTGCGCGGCTGCGGCGCTTGAGGGACGGCCGAACATCAGCCGTTGTGTGCAGCAGCGGCGCTTGAGGGACGGCCGAACATCAGCCGTTGTGCGCGGCCGCGGCGCTTGGGGGACGGCCAAACATCAGCCGTTGTGTACAGCAGCGGCGCTTGAGGGACGGCTGAACATCAGCCGTTGTGTGCAGCACCGGCGCTTGGGTGACGGCCGAACATCAGCCGTTGTGTGCAGTTGCGGCGCTTAAGGGACGGCCGAACATCAGCCGTTGTGTGCAGTTGCGGCGCTTGGGTGACGGCCGAACATCAGCCGTTGTGTGCAGTTGCGGCGCTTGAGGGACGACTGAACATCAGCCGTTGTGTGCAGCACCGGCGCTTGGGTGACGGCCGAACATCAGCCGTTGTGTGCAGTTGCGGCGCTTGGGGGACGGCCGAACATCAGCCGTTGTGTGCAGCAGCGGCGCTGGAGGCACGGCGCGGTCTCACAACCGAAGACATTAGAGTACATGACATCGCCCTGCTGTAGTCGTAAACAATGCTGATATATGTGCCCACTAAACCACCCGGCCGCCGGCATCGGCAGCATCGGCCGAGGTCAGCATTTGCCGTCCGGCTGCACATGCGGGGCTGTGCAAAAGGGGCTAGGCTGCGCAGGGCGTTGGTTACGAAACGTTCCTTGGATGAAACCTGCTGGAAAAGCTTCAAGGTATGGCTCGTCCGACAATAACATCTGAGCCCATGACGATTTAACGATCGTCGTAAATATTCTGCGTTTAATTTGAATATCCCGCCCCAGCCCCTCCCATCCACCAGTGAATCAGACCCCTGCAGCTTTACATCGGTAAAATAATGCACACAGACACAGGAGTCTGTTTCTGAAGGGAACGACCCACACGCAACTGCAGTGTGCTTTGCTCTTGAAACACAAATGAAAGGCAGACGTATTTTCGGATTGATCACGAACTCATTTCGTTAGTGGCTTAGCTGTATCTCTTGGTCTAAGAATGTAACCGGCACCATGTCTTGAAAACGTTGTCGGCACCGAAACCATTGAAAAGTCTCGATATCGGTTTTCGACGCTGATTTCACCATAAAAGCAAAGCAGGATTTTCTGAACTTCTCGGCTATAACCCGACGGTAAATATCACAACTTTCTCTAACCGGCCAGGCAATGTACTCTTGTCGACATGCCAGGGTGCTATTCTGGCACGAACAATCTAGTGTGAAAGCCTGCTGCTACTACGGCTGCTACGGCTGCAGGTTTACCGGGGCTATGCGTGCTGAATAAGTGTGCCAGGCGAGGTCCCCTAGGAAGCCTTTGGTACTGGTGGCTGTAGCTCCACCTTTGGTCAAGGTCTGAGCCATATGAGCAGGCGTTTGACTGGAATAAGTTTCATAAATATGAAAACTCGGCTCAGTTAAAGGGAACGATACTTCTCTATCTGCATGCCCGAAGGATAAAACACCTACTCGGTACGACACAAAATGATATTCAAGAGTTGTACTGTAATTGTCGCCGTCACGTTAATGCACGAAACCCGATTACAAGAATGGAATGCAAGATGCACTGCTTAAGCAGAGACCAGCGAGCAATGGCGTAGTCAAGCCAGAGAGAGGGCTTTTGAGGCCAAGCCCCAGGGTGAAAAACTTCTGATTTACCGGATGTGATCACCGACAAAACTGACACTTTTGCGAGCCATTTGGTGACAAAATTGCGAAAATGAAAACAAACTTCAAGAGACAAGTCCATATTACAACAAATTATCCGAGCTCGACGAAACTCAAAAGCTTAGTATTGGTCTGTACTCGCTAGCACTTGCAGCGTGACCACACCTCGAAACGTTGACATTCCGCCGTATGAGCAGGTTGAGCCATCAGATGCTGATAAATATAGTAGCTTTAATCAGGACAGTTTTTAGCAAGCGAGAGAAACATACCGCAAACTATATTATATCAGTGCTGACGTCATAGATTAGTGGTAACACTGTGTTTTTCCAATGTCCCTCAGATCAGTGTGTTTCACAGATTTTTCAGCCAAGATTCACTTCGCACACTTGGCAGTATAAAACACCAAATAACTAGGCCTATTACTGGTCGTAAGAATCGCGGCTGGCCACAGCACCTTGCGACGAACGTGATCAGTTTGCTGCGCAGCGTTTAAAGCGTCGCACCATTTGAGACAGAGAAGCTTGATTGCTCGCCATGCGGTAACGCGTTGGGTTCAAAGCAAGGCTGTTGGCTGCTGTTGGTTGTGTTCATGTGAGAAGCTGACTGGCTAGAAGGACGTAGCTAATCGTCAGTGTTTAAGACGATAACGTCAAAAAGCCCTGCCGATTTAGGATTGTCGTTTATGGATACCTGAGCAGTACCTTCAGAGGCATTGAGCGACGCATGTCAGGGATTTATCCGGGGCTTCCTGCTTCTGAAAGAAACAGCGGCTTTGAGGTAAGAGGCCGAGAATCCCTGGTGTAGGCCTGCCACAATGGCCGTTGCACCTCAGACTTAGAGCACTGGTCGGTGGACAGGTGTGAACTAAACATTTTAGTTGTCATCAGAATGCATATAAACCCAAATGTCGTTTATGCACTAGATGTGTTAAAAATTATCGATGGCATCTGTTGACACCAATGTTGTTTGGGTTTTGCACTAAATAGTTGGGTTCATGTCAGGAAGTGCGAGTTCTGCACCGTCAATGGTTATGCGAAGATAATGAAAGTCGCCAACGCTTTCAGCTGATTGTGCGATCACGTCACGAAACCAAAAGCGATATTGTTTCAGGTGCATGTAGAACCATGCCATCGGTAAATATAGGGTCACAGGGATGCAGTTTTGCAAAATGCGAATGGCTGGGGGATGGAGAGGGAAGGAAGTTGCAGAAAGAGCAGATGGTGGAGCCTTCCTTAGCCCTTAAAACAGTTTTCTCCCCAGATTTACCGCAAGTTTTATCAGCTGGCAGCAGGGGTGTAGTTTCTTGAAAATAGTTTTTAAAGGCTGAGTCCCGACATTAGGATGACTGAAAAATAATGGATAAAAATGATGACTAAAAACAGAAAACTGCTTCTCTGGTTGGGAGGCGCGATACCGCCTCAACCTCCCCCCTCCCCCCATCCCCCCAACCAAACAGCAAACTACGTGCCTTTAGACTGGTCATGTTAAATATACTTTCATCTGATAATTCTGTTAGGTTTGTCTCAGCCATCATTCAGTGTTTGATGGCCAGCAAATGCAATTTTAATGCAAATGGACTCCCGAAACAAAGATGTTTGTCAGTTATGCTGCATTGAATTTAATTTGTCTTTGCTTTTTGTGGCTTGTTTGCATGTGTAG